GTCCTCGCGCTCGCTGTACAGACCTAGCTTACTTGCGTAACAAATCACCGCTCGCTGGTCTTGTTCTCTAGTCATACCAAGTGTAATACTCGAGCGGCTGGATATGATACGATTGTATCTCCAGTGACGTGATACTCCAAGAGCAAGGTTAGGGGAAAAGGGGGGGGGGGGCTTTACTCGGGCAATATAAGCGCACTGTAAAACATACACCTGAATGACTAAGTGCTTCGGAAATTTTCAGTTTAGTGCCTCTATACGGAAAGGAACTAAAAATACCTAAAGTTGATAGCTGGCGTCTTTCGCAGTTTTGGTGTCTTCGTAAAACGCACTTAATACATGAAGCGTCAAGGTATTGCGTTTATGCTTAGTTCCAAGCATTTTATATCAGTAAGCTTTAACTTTGCCCAGACAAGTAATCGGCAAGTTTGTCAATCTGCTGCACACTCTAAAGGAGAGTTGGTCCTCACTATTACGAAAATCATCGTGACTTAAACAAACGTTCTCTTGTTAATGTACGAATACGGAAAGTTCGTTTTTTCACGTAATACTAGACATGCTATTTTGTGAATTGCTTTATAAAATCTAAAGCTCTAATTAAAGACTCTAAAAGTTGTATATATTCTGTCAGAGAAGTTATGAGCCGAGAATGCCCTCCCTACTGTTACAAATTTATTGGTAATTTTACGAACACTGATAAACTAAGTGTTCAACTGCTCAACACTTTCAAGTGTGCAACTGTAAGTTAAATACTTGCAAGTGTGCAACTGCAAGTTAAATACTTCCAAGTGTGCAACTCGGTAGGTGTGCACTTGCAAGTGTGCAACTCCTCGGTTGAACCCTTCGTACACAGTAAGCATCTGATCTAAGGAAGTGTGCAACCGAGGAGTTGCACACTTGCAGGTGCACATCTACCGAGTTTAACACTTGCAAGAGTATGACTACGGAGTTCCACACTTGCAAGTATTCAACTTGCAGTTGCACACTTACAAGTGTTGAGCAGTTAAACACTTAGTTTATCAGTGAATAGTCCGACAAAACGTGACACGAAATATTTGGTTAATTATTTCTTACGAAATGCATTTCGTAACATTTTTGTCCTTCAATCAATAAAACATTTACAGCTGCTTCTTGGTAGTATTGGTGTGTTTGGCGTATAACAGTATCCGCTGCGCCAGAGGCAGGGAATGCCGTTTGGGGCCACGCGACGCACGTCGCGACGCCTTCGTACGACAAACGTCCGGCGCCTCGCCAGGCTCAGAACAACACCAAAGAACTCCGCTGGGACCTCCGGGCGAGGGACAAGGGTTGGGCTGGGCCGCAGACCTTCAAACGCCGCGGCCAGTCAGAGGAGAGGACAATTAGTTATCTCTCTGGCACGGGCCGACACCAAGGAAGAGCCAAACTAGCTTTCGAGTAGGACACCAACCACCCAATGGTTCTTTCTCTCTAAGAAATACCAGAACTAATATTTGGACACCTTGCTCAAGATGAGCATTATTTTCAAAAACTGCGACGCTTCTGCTCACCCCTGGTAAAAAGCATATTTAGGCCGGTCTAAATATGCTTCATAATACCGAATTATTTATGTCCTGTGTACGGTAAAAGTATACGTTCTCAGAGATGACCACATGTATGGTTATATGTTACTGTCAGGGTTTCGGGGTTAGAAATATTTCCCACAAAAATTTGAAGTGTGGCGTCTTTACTTTGGCTCGGCCTGGACCTCTCTGCGAGAAATCAAGATGTCCTGCAAAAGTGTGACTAAAGTCACATACAGCTGCTGAACATGAACACCCAATATTTACAGTGCAGGGCTTTAGTAGGTGTATTAAAATATCTCCTATTTCTCTATCTTCCATTTTTTGTCAACAAAATCGACCGTTGAAGATGAAACTATTAAATCCACCTCTGATCTGCGAGCAATGCACACGCTGGTGCTCTGCTTGGAGTGCTGGTGATAATGACCATGGGGATCGGGGCTATTGGCCAGTGTCACACAGACACACTATGGCTAAAGCAGGCGCAGCCCCTACATCACGGTGATCTTAATGGTCCACGGTCCACGCACGCACAGCCTGACCTCTCTCAGTCGGTCAGCTGACCCCGCGGCCCCCTCCTGTGTCCTTGGGGTCACGGGTTAGCCCACGCACACGGCGGGGCGTGTTGTGGGCAATGAGAGAGAGTGTGTCAGAGAGAGAACGCGATCTTCAAAAACGATGCTCTCTCCGATACCATATAATATGTTTCTCCCGACTCTTCTGTCTTTCCCCTGGGACCAACCGTAGTGGGCGGTGTTTGTTAGGGGCCGGGGAGATGCCAGAAACCGAGTGAAAGAGAAAATATTTAGTAGTGTTGCGATACGGAAACACGAGATGTTTTTCGCCAGAGTATTCAATAACAATTTTAGCCGGCGGGTGAGTACATAAAGTATCGACATGCTGCTGGCCCTCCCCGACCACTCCACTGCCAGGCCGGACGGCACAAGAAACGGCGCTGGCTGCGCTATGAGAAATTGCGTGCCCTCGGGTCGTAAACTAACGATAGGTCGAGGCTCGCCGGGTGGCCGCGGGCGTCGGCGTCGTCTAGCACACACCTTGCGTGCAGCCGCACCCCGCCCGCCGCGCCACGCCCAGACACTGTGCGCCACTCATGTCAGCGTGGTCACTCGCATACGGCCACCTTTCGTCGGGTTATTATGGCAGACGCGTAACACAGGTTCAGGTCCACCCAGGCCAATCGCGTAATGGCACCGGGGCAAACAGTCATGGCGTCCACCGGGAGCCACCACGACCCAAAATGCATTCATCGCAAATCAGCCGCTTTACTCCACAAAATAAAAGTGCCAAATTCCTGGATTGGAAGAGATCTTTATTTTTCGCGAGGCCAGCCGTGTGCATTGGTCAACCCCGCTTCAACAGCAGCGTTTACCTTGGCCTTGCCCGCACCGGCTGCAGCAGCTGGCCCTGGCCTTGCCCGTGCCGGGCACCCCTCGCCCTGCCTGCAGCTGGCCCTGGCCTTGTCCTTTGCCTGCCGCGCCAGCCGCAGCCCCAGGCCCGCCAGCCCCCCGCTGCCGCCTGGCGCCCCAGCGACACGATTTATTCGGGTCCTTTTCCAGATTATGCAAATTTGCGTCGCCGCCTCCGTCTTGAAATAACAAAGGCCGTTTGGATAACGGGGAGAGCGGCTGGACGCGCTGAGCTGCCGGAGTAATTGGGCTAAACTCGATTAGAGAAGAAAGCGGGCAAATATCTATTTCTATTAAATAAATATGTGGGTGGGCGCGCCGGGCCGGGCGGCGTGCAGGTGTCGGGTGGATTCGAACCGGACCGGGGTAGGACTATCACAGGACTTACAGGACTTTCTCTGGCCAGCATTAAACCGCGAATGGCCTGACAGACCAGCCAAGTCCGGCTGGGCGGCCAGGCCAGGCTGGCCGGTCTGCCGGGCTAGGCCGCGCCGCAGAGAGCTCTGCCTGGCTCTGCCGCAGACCCGAGCCAACACTCGCACTGGATTCCACCGGAGCCATCCCAGCTGCCTTACTAGCTAGTCCAGCCACCAGCCCTCCTACCCATCTCAACGTAACTTTCCACGATTCACACACACACGCACACTCACAGGCACACACACAACACGCACACACGCACACACCAGACAACACGACATTTTTGCTAGATGAAAAAAAAATCCATCAAGACAAGAGAAAGAGTAGAAATGATTGCAGGAGGTCGTGAGCTCAAAGTACAGTAGAGCAGAATAACATCGTCTGATTAAAAAATATCAAACCATATAAACCTTTCTTTTTCCCTGTGCAACACTCTGGCGAGATGAGCTCCCAATTCAGCTGGCCATACGCCCATCACACGCTCTCCTAACGGGCCGGCCCCCGGCCTATTTGCATTGGACTGGATCAGTCATCCACCGGCGACGTGCACAAATACGTCGTGGAAAAGAAAAGTCACTTCGAGGGGAAAAGTAGAGACGACAACAACAACAGGGGCGTTGTGCGCAGGCCTGCTCTAGGAGGGAAGGTTTCACCCGCATACAAATGAACGCCGCGGCCTGGCGACAAGCGGCCGGGCTCCACGCGCTACGCCACTTTCCACGTAAAGTCTCATTTCGCATCGGGCTGCTCTTGACTTGTGCCAAAGAGGAAGAAAAGCCATCCAGCTCGTGCGCCTCTGGGAAATATGCTGTGGCGTGGCGTAGCGCTTGCGGGTGGGGAGCGCCGCCGCCCATAGGGAGAGTCCTGTGTTGCGACAACGACCAGACCGAAACGGACAACAGAACAGGGAGGGGTTTAACGAAGTCCTTAACCGAGCAGCGGGGAATCACATAGGACCCGCACCGCGCGGCCAGACCCCGCGACACAATCAGAGTGAAAACATACTCACACACACACACACACACATACACGCACGCATGCAAGACATCGTACGCAGCGGCACTCCGAAGCGTAAGTGCATTGCACTGTACCACGTGGGGCAGCTACCGCGCCCCACCACGCCGCCCCGCGAGTAGGAGGAGCCAAGGCCGAGCTAGGGGTCCACCAGCGCGCACTAGGGCCCGCCAGGGCCCGCCACGGCCCACAAGGACCAGCCAATGGACCCGGGAGGAGGGGGGGCCGGTGCTGGGCACAAAGGTACCGGTCCGGTTTTGCTGCGCGAACGACGGAGAGCGCAGAGGCAGAGAGGGAGAGGGGCAGAGCGGCACGGAAAAAGAAAAGGGGGGGGAGGGAGGAGGCGCCGCGCCGTTCAAAATGAATAGCCCCCACATGGTGGACAAAAACAAGCGCCGGGTCAAATGTCCGGGCGAGGCATTCGCTCTAGTGGCCGGACGGCGGGGGGTAGGGGTGGGGGGCCGCGGCGCGGAAGGAAGACGCCGTCCCGCCGGCCAACCTCCCGCCGCCCGCCGACCCGCCGGCCTACCTGCTCCACGAGTGAAAGGGGAGGGAGAAGCACACCGCGCACGCTGCGCTGGGCGAAAAATTACAAAAAAGAAGCGTGCTCGCGTCGGCTCGGCTTCACTCCGGCACGGACGTCCGCGGCGCGAGGTTGGCGAGTCGGTTTCTAGTAGTGCAGTGTGTGACAGGACCCAAGTGACCTTCAAGATGGTGCGCAGTGCGATGCTCCTGCTCCTGGCCGCGGCCCTGGCCGCCGGCTCCCCCGTCGCCATCCCGGAGGCGTCGCCCGCCGCCGCGGCGTCACCGGTCGCCGACCCGATCGCCGACCCGGCGCCGGTCGCCAGCCCCGAATTACCTGCCGCCGCCCCCCTTCCCGCCGTTGAGACCGTCAAGCAGGAGATCGAGGAGGTCGCGAAGGTGCAGGAGGTGGCCGAGGCTCCCCTCAAGCCCCAGGGCCGATCCTTCGACGACGAGGTCTTCTCCAACAACAACGACGTCGCCAAGGTGAAGCCCGCCCAGGCCGACACCACCACTGGTGAGGAGGCTCTCCTGAGGAAGCTCAACACTCGCTGCGCGCAAAAGGACACCTCTTCGTGCGTCCTCCTCAAGATGGTCACCTACTTCAACCGCCTGCTCAAGAAGTCCTCCATCGCCATCGGCGAGACTGTCGAGATCGAGCGCACCACCGCCGTGTCCGTGTCGGCCGAGGACGTGACCTCCAGCCGCGCCCTTGAAGGCGACAGCGACGAGGACAAGCTCACCTCCCTCATGACCGACAAGCTCTTCAACTTCGTCCGCTCCCGCTCCATGAGGCTCAAGCTGTTGCCCGGCGCTGACCTGCTCGTCACCCCCAAGACCGAGAAGGACGGCGGCCTCAACCTCGACATGAGCCTGCAGGCCAACAAGGAGGAGGGTGAGTACGACTTGTGGGGTGTCCAGGGCGGCCGGTCTTCTGGACTTACAAGTGTAAGGCTGCGAGGGTGTGTGAACCGGATGCACCTAAGTGGGTTGCGAGGTGAGCCGGTCAGTGCAGCGGCTGCAGCGGCTGCAGCACCGCGCGAGCGCAGCTGCAGCCGATCTAGATGTGCGATCCAGTTCCAGGCAGAGAGGTGGGTGGGT